AGAGTTGATATGTGGATGACTATATTATTGTCATCGGTGCCTATTTGTCCTCTTTTATATGATCCCTACTTCTGTAAATGTATTGTGACAGTGTATTTCTTATACCAAAAGAAAAATCATAAGTAAAAAAAGTACAGAGAAAAAAAACATGGCCCAATTCAAGCCTAGGAATCACTGTTGTTACTATTAAAAAGGGCTGGCCAAAAGGCACGGGGTGTGTGTGTGTGTGTGTGTGTGTGTGTGTGTGTGTGTGTGTGTGTGTGTGTGTAAGAGAGAGAGAAAGAGAGAGGGAGAGGGGGGAGGAAAAAAGGAGAGAGACGAAGAAAGAGGGAGAGAGAGAGAGATGTATTATGTTTCTTAAATTATTTTATCCCTTACTGTGCCTAGTTGACTGTTGGGGATTATTAAGTGGTCAAAATCCCTGCAGATGAACTAAAATTTCTTGCCTGAAGCCCATCTTTGCTGCCTGATGCCATTTATACCCCAACAACATAGATTTTCTTTTTCTTCTGTTACCTCTGTGTCAAAGTGACTCTCCGACTTCAAAGATCTAAAACTATTCACATCCCAGATGAAACAGATAGTCATCAGTAAGGCTGAACCTTGGCATAGGCTGTGATTCTAGCTACTCGGGAGGATGAAAGCTGGGGGGAAGGAGGAGAGTTATAAAGAAATGGGGAGGAAGGAGAGGAGGAGGTCAGGAGTCCTGTGAATTGGGGGGGGGGGGGGCGTTGCAACCTGAGAAATAGCAGCAGCATTTCCTGAGTCAACCTGAGCCTCTTGTGCAGAGACCTGATGAATCAAACCTCCCTGAAATGTCACCTGCCTGCATGGCATTTCATGCACTGGAGTTATTTCAGTATTAGCCCATGCAGAAAACGAATTCCCCTTCACGGGCAACTCAAGAGGATAAATACTGTTAATGCCAGATTCTTGCTTAAGTGCAGGACTAGGAAAGCTGAGGTGGGATTTTTGCGCTGAACTCATTTTGCAGAACATAAATTTTGTCATTTGGGTATTCTTGCCTTCTGTTGCTGATTTCATGTCATCCTCTGTTTATAGTTCCCTCATTTTCTTCTTGAACAAGTCCAAGAGGAAAACGAGCAGAAAGCTTTCCCCAGTAAAAGGTCTCATTTCGCACAAAGCCATTGTCTGTGGACTGAGTATGTCTATTTCCCTTCCATCTGCCATTGGTTTGAGTAAGCACAGCCTTCCTCCAGTTTCCAGACGACAGCCCTAGTGGATAGTGTCTTGGTCTGAAAAGAGCAGATGCCACAGATGCAGCCACACACACTTTCAAGACATTGATGAAAAGCTGCAAATGCTCTCTTATTTGTGGATACAGAATCCATCTTCTTGCTCCTTCTCCTTTGAATCTTTGACAACATTAGCCGAGAAGGACAAATGTCACCACCTCTGCTGCCAGCTGTGTCTCAAGATGCACAGAGAAGCTCCTTAAATCAGTAACCCTCGCACTGGTCTCCTTAACCTTCATAAGGGCCTGGGAGGCAGTGGTTGATTCAAGTCAGGAATGGGGTCAGCCTAGAGAGGGAGGTATACCTTGGTCACTTAGGTTAGCTCTTCTTAAAATCTGGGTTATTGTTACACCTGTTGTATATTAAAATTTATCACCAATTATTAATTTATTCATTCAAATGATTATTGCTCTGATATGGTATTGAATCTTATTCACATAGAAAAACGGGGTTAGTCTGTGATAGTCAAATTTTTATTGTCAACTTGACCAGACTTCAGGATTACCTATGAGAGAGATACATACCTCTGTGAATGCCTATGAGAGTGTTTCCAGTCTCTTTATCTCTCTCTGCTTCCTGACTGCAGATGTGATGTGACCAGCAGCCTCATGGTCGTGATGGACCATATCCTCAAACTGCGAACCTAAATAAACTCTTTCTTCCTTTTTAATTTTCCTAATTGTGTGGGAGCTGAAGGGAAGGTGCTTGTTTGTGTGTGCACGTGTGTGTGGGGGGTGCCTACGCCTGTGCGTGAGCTTGCAGAAACCCAGGAGTCAACATGGAGTACCTTCCTCTATCACTCTTTGAGACAGGCCCTTTCACAGAAACCTGGAGCTCAGCTTTAGCTAGACTGGCTGGTTAGCAAGCCCCCAGCAATCTGTGAGTCTCTACCCCTACCCCAGCATTGGAGTTACAGAGACACACAGCTGTGTCTGACTTTTTCATGGATTCTGGGGATCTGAGCTCCTCAGGTCCCCATGATTATGCAGCAAGCACTTGAGACCCGAGCCACCTCCCTGTCCCTCTTCCTTCCGTAGGCTGCTCTGACAGGTATTTATCACACCACTGAGAGGAGTACCTAATGGAGCCTGTTAAGCATGTAGATGTCCAGGAAGCTTATGAAGCTCCCCTAGACATGCGGAAAGAAATATCTTCCTCCTTCGCTCCAAAAGGCTTATCAACCTGATGGTCCAACTCGCTTAACTTGTCACCGAGAGCAGTTTCTTCACCTTTAGGGAAGAGTCATTTTGAATGTAACATGAGACAACATGAAGGTTTTTGTTTTGTTTGGGTTTTTTGTGACAGGAATTCTTTGTGTAGCCTTGACTATCCTGGAACTCACTCTGTAGCCCTGGCTGGCCTCGAACTCACAGAGATCCACCTGCCTCTGCCTCCCAAGTGCTGGGATTAAAAGCATGCACCACCACTGCCCGGTGATAACATGAAGTTTAATTCATCCATTCTAAACTTCTGAGAAGGTAAATAGCTAGTGCCCTCCTGTTTCCTGGTAGTCTCAGTTCTGCGCACAAGCCATGAAATATGAAAGCCACAGAAGAAACAATTTGGGGCAGGGAGGAAGAGGGGAGTGGGGGAGAGACAGGACAGGGGGCACCAAGAAGAGTTTTCTCCACCTGACTCTGAGGACAGTGTGGTCTCTAAGTTATATCTAAACTGTAGCCTCCAGAGATGCACAAATGCCATTTCTCTTCATCATTCCATCCACGATGTTTATTATAGACCCTGGTGCTTGGCAGGCCCAAATATGATGGATGAATGAGTAGATGAATATGGTTCCTAGACCACTGGTAAGTCCATCAACAATCTCAAGGCAGGACCAGCAAACTGCTCAGCCTGTAAACATGCGAATCCGATGACCAGGGTTTAATCCCTGGATTCCATAGAACAAGCCAGATGTGGTGGCCTGCATCTGTAACCTGAGCCGTCCTAGAGTGAGATGGTGAGCAGACATAGAAGTGCTTGGAAACTCACGGGCCAGCTAGCCTAGAGTACAGGACACAGCTCAGTAACGAGAGCGACGCCCCAACGAGGTGAGGGTGAGAACTGACTTCCCCATGCATACATGGCACTCACACACCTGCACTTACACACTTACACACCAGGCCGGCCTGGTCTACAGGGTGAGTTCCAGGACAGCCAGGGCTACACAGAGAAACACTGCCTCAGGGGGAAAAAAGGTACAAATATGTGGCAGGCAGTCCTGCCATTATTATTATTATTATTATTATTATTATTATTATTATTATTATTATTATTATTTTTATTTTTATTTTTATTTTATTATTATTATTATTTTGCCATTTTCTCATTATCATTTTGACAAATTTATTATGATCACCAAACTTAAGTTGGAAAAAAAATTAGAAGTCAGTGTGAGGGCTCAGAGAGTAAAAGCGCTTTCCAGAAAACCCTCTCCACCACACGGGACGACCAGAGTTCAAACCCCTAGACAGACACGGTGGAAGGAGAACCAGCTCCCACAAATCGTTAGCTGACTGCCATACATGTGTCATGGCATGCATGCACCCCCTAAGTACATGGTGCAGTGGCGTGCATGCACCCCCTAAGTATATGGTGCAGTGGCTTGCATGCACCCCCTAAGTACATGGTGCAGGGGCGTGCATGCACCCCCTAAGTACATGGTGCAGTAGCGTGCATGCATCCCCTAAGTACATGGTGCAGTGGCGTGTATGCACCCCCTAAGTACATGGTGCAGTGGCGTGCATGCACCCCCTAAGTAAATGGTGCAGTGGCGTGCATGCACCCCCTAAGTAAATGGTGCAGTGGCATGCGTGCACCCCCTAAGTAAATGGTGCAGTGGCATGCGTGCACCCCCTAAGTAAATGGTGCAGTGGCATGTGTGCACCCCCTAAGTAAATGGTGCAGTGGCATGCATGCACCCCCTAAGTAAATGGTGCAATGGCGTGCATGCACCCCCTAAGTAAATAAATAAATGGTGCCATGACATTCTTGCATTCCCCTTAATAAATTAGTAATTATAGTAAACGTTTTAAAAATTGCTGTGGTGATGTTTTCCATGGCACACGAGGTGGAGCAAAATTGTATTTGACAAGGATTATAAAAGTACCCTGAAAACTGTTTGGCGGAGGGACACACAGAAATGTCAAACAAGGTGAAGGTATCAGAACTAGCTAAGTTCTGTAAGGCTCTGAAGGAATGTTTCCCTGACTGCAAGTTTGCCTACACCTGTCACTAAAACAAGTTTTTATTTGTACCCCCCCTCCCTCTCCCTCTCCCTCTCCCTCTCCCACCCAGTCCCTGGGTGTGTGTATGTGGTCATGTGGGTATGTGTGTATATGCATGCCAATGTACATGCGAAGGCCAGAGTTCACATCAGGTATCTTTCCTTATTTCTTGAGACAGGATCTCTCCATCAGAACTGAGAGCTCAGCGATTGGCTAAGCTGGCTAGCCAATGAGCTCCAGGGATCCACACAGCTCCATGATTCTCCCTCCCTCCCACTCCAGCCTCAGTCCTGGGCTAACAGATGCCGCTGCCCTCATCTTTTTACATGGGTTCTGGGGAGCAACACAAGTCTTCCTTACTTCACAGCAGGTACCTCAGCAGCAGATCTATCATCTCCCTAGCCTTGTATTTTCTATTTTGTTTTCTTCTTTTTTGATGTTTCTGTTTTTGTTTTTTTTGTTTTTTTGTTTTTTTTTTTTTTTGAGGCAAGATCTCATTGGGTGGCCCAGCATAACAATCTTCTGGCTTCAGCTTTCCAAGTGTTGAGATCATAGGTATGAGCCGCCATAACTCAACCTCCTTCCCCTCCCCCCCTTTTTTTATTATGCAGGTCATTAATCTAAGAAGGCAGTGACCCTTGACTTGCAGAATCATCTGAGAAGCATTTTAAATATTGGATACCTAGGCCCTACCCTGAATTCCTCAAAAGGTGGTTTGCGGTGCGACTGGGGCACCCCAGGCAAGTCTGTTGTGCGGCAGGAACAGAGCCACAGGCCCAGCGGTTTCTAGCTTTCAGCTAAGAAACCACTCTTATTTACATCCTCCTCTACGGAAACACTGTGCCTGCCCTGGAATGCGCCCTACTCCCACGCCAGGGGAGATGTGCTAGTTAGTTACTCACTCAAGTGACGCCCAATCGAATAGAAGAAAACAGCAACAAATAGAAATCAAAGCAGTGCTTTCCCGTCCTACACGGCAGGTCAGGCCGCGCAAGGCCCAAAATAAATAGCTAACGGTAATTCGCTAAAAGTAAAGGGACTTCTACAAGAATTCCTTGCAAGGTCGAAGGGTCTAGGGAAAAGCGGGGGTACACTGGTAGGCCTTGCCTGCTCCCATAGCAGAAGCCCGAACGCTCAGTCGGTAGAGCATGAGACTCTTAATCTCAGGGTCGTGGGTTCGAGCCCCACGTTGGGCGCCAAGGGGGAAGTGCTGTGGAATGTTCTGTATGGCAAATGTGTTGCTAATTAGTTAATAAATAAAACACTGATTGGCCATTGGCTAGGCAGGAAGTGTAGGCGGGACAAGGAGGAGAAAAAAGCTGGGAAGTGGAAGGCTGAGTCAGAGAGACACTGCCAGCCGCCACGATGAGAAACAGAATGTGAAGATACCGGTAAGCCACGAGCCATGTGGCAGGGTATAGATTAATGGAAATGGATTAATTTAAGCTGTAAGAACAGTTAGCAAGAAGCCTGCCACGGCCATACAGTTTGTAACCAGTATAAGTCTCTGTGTTTACTTGGTCGGGTCTGAGTGGCTGTGGGACTGGCGGGTGTCAGAGATTTGTCCTGACTGTGGGCCAGGCAGGAAAACTCTAGCTACAGGAGATGATGATGATGATGATGATGATGATGATGATGATCGCCGGGGAGGAAAGCACAGCAGAGGTCTCTCGCCCTGGCTCTCCTCTCCCGCCAGGTAAAGCCAGCTGGCAAAGGAAAGCCCTTCTCCTCATGCCATCTTTCATTTACACAGGAGGAGTCTGGGGACCGCCCTTTATGACCTGCAGACTACACTCACCTGTCTGTCCAAGCTGACTGCAGGAGGAACCGCTCATCCATGCCTGCCCTGCTTTTGGGCACATGAGTAGATCAAGAAATATGGATTCTTACTGTACACAGGTTAAAGGCCCAACTCCATGTCTCTTGAAAAACAGTCCAAGGATTTTTTACTCAGATCTACTGGTAAGTCCTACTTAAAGTGATGGTGTATTGGTTCCTGCTGTGTCCTACGTGTTTCATATAGACGATCTCATTTATTTCTGTATTATCTCTTGATTATCTGCAATGTATCTACATTATCTGAATATCTTTGTAGATAGTCACATCAAGTGACACTCACCCAGGATGGTGCAGTGAATACCTACCTGGTGATACTTGAATGCTAGGGCAGGCTTATTCTGACACCAGATCTGGGGGTTCTGGTATTATTGACATTTTAGACTGACGTTTAGACAGTTTTATGTTGGGATGGACTGTCCTGTGCTCTGTAGGATGCCTAGTAGAATCTCTGGCCTCCCTTCATCACAGGCCAGCAACAACCCTCCCTATAGTCAGAATAATCAAAATTGTTTATAGAATGGCCAAGTCTCCAGAGGCAGGCAAGGTCAACCTTCCTTCTTCTTAATGGCCGCCACTCTAGGTTGGGACGTGCTATATACTGTTTTCCTGGTATAAGTTCACAGGCCATTTCTCAGAAGAGGAACTGCCAGAACAAAACAACAAAACCCACAGCATCCCACAATTCTCCAGGGGAGTATGATATTTTAATAATGCAACCCCATTCTACAGTTATGTATCATTATGTGACTCAGTAAGTTTTTTTAGACAGGGTCTCCCTGTGTAGCACAGGGTGATCTAGACTTCAAAATTCTCCTGTTTCTATTTCCTGAGTGTTAGGATTATTGGTGCCCACCACTGTGCCTGGCCCCTGGGTGCTTTTGTATCATCTCCCTTCATGGCAGCTAAGCCTGTAGTGAGAGCTAATCCTCAAAGAGCTAAACCACCTCAAAGAAACGGAGGCAGGAGAACTGTGATGGCCTTTCTTCATTCTTAACTTGAGTGGTTTTGGAATCACCTAGGAGACACACCTGGACATGTCCTTGCTTGCCCACAGAGGTTTATCCGAGGAGAGAAGATCCACCCTGACTATGAGGTCATGACATCCCATACACTGGGGTTCCAGACTGAATAAAAAGGAAAAATAGGAGAAAGTGAACTAAGTAAGCATCAGCATTCATCTCCTTTGGCTTCCTCACCTCAGAACTCATGGCTCTCACCACCATACTAACTACCATGGGGCTAAGCATCAGCATTCATCTCCTTCGGCTTCCTCACCTCAGAGCTCGTGGCTCTCGCCACCATACTAACTACCATGGGGGAACTGGTCTCTTGAACTGTGAGCCAAATACAATCTTCCTTAATTTGCTTTTATTAGTTATTTTGTCTCAGCCATGAGAGAAGTAGCTGATACAGGAACACGCTGTGAAAGTCATATTAATCCTTGGCACCGCAAGTAATTAAGGGAAGGCTTTTGTTAGTACATAGTTCCAAGACAGTATATAGCACATAAATGAGCTCCGGAGAGGCCAAGTCCACATCTAATGGCCCTCTACATTCCTGGCACTTGCTGGTCTCCAATCTAGGAGCTCTCGTAAAACACTGTTTCATGAACTATGATGTTTTGTAGTAACTCTGATCATTTGATTAAAACTATTGTATAATAATCTTCCTGGTTTATATCGGAATAGTAAAATCCACAGAAAAACTTAATGTCGATATTTACAAAACAGCTGAGAACTGAATGACGAGCCGTTCTTCCTTGTCCTTAAAAAAAAAAAAGCAGGGTGAACTAAAATTTTAATAAAAAGGAATGTTCATCATAGTCAGCCCTCTCAGGGCTGGGGACATAGCTCAGTTGGTCGAACACTTGCACAGCATTCATAAGGACCCAGTCACAATCCCCAGTGCCACAGACACCAGGCACAGTGGTAGCAGGTACCTGGAACCCCAGAACTCATGATGGGAAAGGGAGGATCAGAACTTCAGTCGTTTCTAACTAGACAGTGAGTGCTTGACTAGTCATTTCAAAATCTGTCATGTGAACAGTATTTCATTGGGAGGAAGGGAGGGAGGGAGAGAGGGAGGGAAGGGGGAAGGAAGGTAAAAGGAAGGGCATTTTTTATAGGCTGGGGTAGGAGGAAAGGGCCACAGGGGAAACTTTTCAATTACTTTTTCCTTTGCATTTCACCACCATGCCAAGCTGTAATATACAAGGATAAGAGGAATGTTCACATTAAAAACATCTAAATTAAAAGTAAAGCAACTGTGGTGACTTTTAAAGCCACGATTTAAAATTGAATAACAAAAAAACCAAAAATCTAAGATGTTAGAAAGATAAAAAATAAAACTTTCTCATTCATATATGAAGTTACAAAGCTTAGCTAAAAGACTGTCATTGGTTAGACACTATAACCTTTCACATGAAGTCAAAAGAATTTTAAATCTACTAGTAAATGATTTGACTATTAAAAATTGCCAGCCTCCACTCAGTACTTGTCCAGTTATGCACAAGTCACATTTAATCTTCCTCCCAAACCCATGGGGTCTACACCCATTATTAGTCCCATTTTAAAATAGATGTCACTTGAAATGGAAATTAGTATCCATACGGTAGGAACTGAGGTTCAGAGGGGTGACACAACATGTCATCTGAGACCACACCTAGACCAGAGTCAAGTCACCGTGCTGGGGAGTTTCTTACTACGTAACCTGAAAAGAAAATGGAGGATTTAGGGAAATCCAAGAAGAAAGAGGGCCTACGTTCTGGTTCTGTTGGCTTCTTGCACCGTGTGCCCTGGAATCCTCATGCTAAATGCAGTTTCAGAAGTCATTCTCTTCCATTTGCCTGTGTATAAAGTTAAAAATCCAACTCAAAACTCAAGTGCTGGGCATAGGTATATGTAAGCATGGCTTCCTGGGTACCTTTTGTTTATTTGTGTGTGTGTGTGTGTGTGTGTGTGTGTGTGTGTGTGTGTGTGAGAAAACTAGTCTCTTATTTTGCTGCTTGTAAAAATCTGCAGCAATACAAACTGCCCAGCAAAGAATATTAAGATGAAAGGAGATTTATTCTTATATGACCTAATACATTGTAAGGTATACTAATTAAGTGATATTTCTAAGTCATTTTTCCGATATATACTAGAGCATAAACACCCAAATGAAGGTGGTACTTCTATTAATTTGTATCTTAAATTTGTTTTTAGATGGTCTCACTATGTATTTGGCTTGAACTTGCTATACAGATCAGGCTGCCCCCAAACTGACAGAGACCCACCTGCTTCTGCTTCCCTGGTGATGAGATTAAAGGCATGTGCCACTACATCTGGCTGATTTGGACCTAAAATGTCTCCCAGTGGCTACTGTCTAGAAGGTTTGAGCTGTAGTATTGGGAAGTGGTGGAGGAAAGGATAGTGGGGGGCGGGGGTGTGCCCTGGTCTTCTTCTCTGTCTCTAATTACCTGCACCATGAGCTGAGAGCTTGGCTAGGCTGTGCACTCCCAGCCCCACATCTCTGCCCTTCCAATAAACCCAAATGAACTAGGCCAAGCAGACAGCAACCTCTCAACCTTTCCTTGGGGCACTCCTTCTTGCTTCTAAGTTGATTATCTCAGGTGGCCTGCTGCTGTCATTCATCTGACACAACCTTGAGTTGTGTCGTGGTATGCTTTCTGGAAGCCCCCCCTTTGAGCTGCTAATCCTTCGAGCGAATCGCCACTATTTTCGTATTTCGTTTTACAGCCCCAGTTTTCCAGAAGCCCAGGTTGGCCTCATTCTGCCTTTGACTCTGCCAACGGCAGGTTTGCAGGCTCTGGGGCAATCAGCAAATGTGCTGCAGGATGTGAAGGAAGCTCCAAAGCAGGTGCTCCGGGACTATTCTCAGAAATGACAGCATCACTAGATTTAGTACCCAGCTTTGCCAAGGGAACGCTGTTGAAGGGGAGAAATATTCATTTGAATATACGAATACAGACATATTTATTTTAATACTTGGATAAAGAATTGAGAGTATCAGCTAGCTTTATATTGAAGTGAATAAATACACTGCTGCAATAATGATATTTCGGATTTTGGGTGCAAGGGTGAGGCCATCCAATAAGCTCTATGTATGTGCTTTGCGCAGCAAAGCAAGTCCTGAAGTGATGTTTTGAAATGAAAGCATGCTTTTCCTGTTAGTTTGCATAGTTATTGAAGATTTCCCTTTCTTGAAGGAAAAAGGAAACTTGAAACAAACAAAAATAAAATTAAAATTAAAAAGCACACCATCACCCCCAACAAAACAAAAACCCAGACTGGGATAGCTGTGGTGGAGCATGCCTTTAATCCCAGCACTAGGGAGGCAGAGGGAGGTGGATTTCTGTAAGTTCAAGGCTAGCCTGATCTACATAGTGAATTCCAGGCCAGCCAGGGATATGCGGACTACCCTGTCTCAAAGCAAACAAACAAAAAAATCGGACCCACTAAATGTTAGTTCCCAAAATAGCTCTTAGAGATTGGGGCTGCAGCTTACTTACTTATCATGTGCTAGGCCCCATGCTTAATTTCCAACACTACAAATAAAATATTTCTTGTAATGCACACATTTGTAATTCCAATAGTTGGGAAATAGAGACAGAAGGATTAGCTATATTTGAGGCCAACCTGGGCTCCATGAGTCCTTGTTCCCCCCCAAAAAAAGTTAAAAACAAACAAACAAACAAAACCAGTCCTTGGTTTTCTTAGGGAGCAGACATCTCAATGTGTGCCAGAGGATGGCCCTGTACTCACAGCCTAGAAGGAAAGACATTCTTTCCCAAACACAAGTGCCTTCCAGTGGCAAAGAAATCACAGGGTCGCTATGAATCAGTTGTTATCCCTAAATAAACTACCCACCACAAATAATCAGCAATGTAAGGTAGGTCAACAAGATGCTCAACATTACTTTAAATGAAATGACTTGCACACCCAAGATAAACAAAGGAAAACAGACAATGCCTAGGTCATGTTTTCAGATATGCCTTAGACACGTATCCTCTGAGATGCCAGGGATGGAGCAGTTCAGGGCACAGGAACAGACCACCAATAACTTCAACAGGGCAGTTGTGGATAGTGCCTTCCACGAGGGTAACTTCTTAACCACAGGAAAAGAAACCCGCACCAGTAGAACACTGAAGTTTGCCTGTGGGATGCAATGTGCTTGTCCACCCCCTCGCCCTCCATTTTTTCTCAGCAGCTGCCTCTGGTGGATTATTACTCTACAAACACCTACATTACATGACACATACCTACATTACATGAGTTCTGCCCAAAGCACACAAGGTTGATATCCCTTATGTATTTGAAATCTCACTCTGTGATTATTCCTTTTGCCCAAGTCTCTTCTTATCACATGCTCAAGCAAAGCATTTCCAACCCAGGTCACAAATATGAGGTGTCACTTAAGCAAGACAAAGTGCTCCCCAGGACCAGGGGTCTCTTTTTTATCACTGGGTACCTACAACTGCTCAGGAAGTTGAGACACTTGGCTGCCTCCAGGTCCTGGCAACTAACTGGTCATCCTTCCATTAGGTTCCCAATATTCCTGGGCTCGCTGAGCGCTGGGTCCCCACGTGTACTGTCTAGGGCTTCCCAATCTGCTGTCTAGGGGATACCCTCTTGAGATGTCCGCGACTACCTCCCCTGAAAAGACGACACTCTCAGCACTGCCCCGCTGGCCACCTCTGCCCTTTCGTGCTCTCTGGTCCCTCAGATCATCATAGCCCCTAAATCAGTAGCCCATGGTTTTCAGCACAACTGAGCTCCGTGTAGCATCTCCTCGGAGTACCCTGCTCCATTCTCCTCAAGGAGGAGCTCACGCCTTGCTCACCTTACTCTTTCCGGGGTTCCCCTCCCTCGGGCACCCCCTTCCTCCCCGTTCTTCCTCTACTAGGCATTCCCCTCCGGGGTTCCGTTCCTCTCTGCCCTGTGGAGGGCGCCCCAAGAATGCGCACAGGACTCCCCTCCTCTGGATCTTGTCTCTCCTGCTCTCCGGGCTCATACACCCACAATTCACGACCGTGACATCTACCCCAAACCCCAGATCCCCAGGCTCCCATCCCCAAGCTCCTCACTAGCTAGTCCGGATTCCCAAGCCCCAGCCCTTCAGGGGTCTGCAGCTTCCCAACTCCATGGTCTGGACTGTCTGTCCTGCATTCTAAAAACGAGTATTGAAACTCCAACATCGGGTCCCACCCCCGGCCCCTGGGGTCGGGGCACCTGTCAATGCGGTTCTACATCTTCTCTGCGGAGTCGTCGGGTCAGGCGCTCCCCAACGTCTCCATCCTGACATCCCCGCCTCCCGAGCTCTGGCAGAGGCTCCCCAGCATCACAGTGGAGACCTGCACCCTGCCCTGTCCCCAGACGCCGCGACGGGACTCACCAACACCAGGCGCGGCCGAGCTCCGGCAGCCCAGCTCCGGCAGCCCAGCCCAGCCCCGCCAGCCACACTCCCGCCCCGGGATCCGGGAGAGCTCCCTCCGAGCGGCCGCGACCGCGGAGGGCTCTGCACCCGAGAGCCGCGAGGAGGAGGGGACAACCCGGGCGGCGACGCCCAGCTCCGCCCCTTCCCGGCCCAGGGGAGGGCTGCATAGCCGGGTGCACACCCCGCGGCCACAGCCACCGCAGCCGAGGAAGTTGGCTGACGCCGCTTCCTTCCACCCACCTTCAGACCCTCGCGCCCCGCTTTCACTGCAACTCCCCCGGGGGCTTGAGGCAGCAAGGGATGCGGCATGCACTCTGTGTTCTCCCTCAGAACCGTTTTCTAAGTCCCTCGGGAGGGGGAATAACAAACTTCATCTGCCATTTCAGGAGCTGATCCCAACCCTGGCCTTTGTTTTCTCTCACTGCCCTGGGGTGAATGTTTGAGGTAATGCCCAAGAAATCACGCAGTGCACCCCAGGAAGGCCCTGCAGACACACTTTTACACCCCCGTGCAAGACTCATACTTCTGCTGTGATTGCACAGCAATCACACAGGTCACTGGGCTGTGCCAGGCAGACCCGTGTGACCTCCATCCAGTAAGTCCTGCCCACAGTGGCCGGAGTTGTTCTTCACCCACAATGCACTCTGTATTTATCGTGGGTTTTTTTTTTTTTTTTTTTTTTTTTCCTAATCCATTTAGGAAGCAGGACCATCAGTTAACAAATCGAATTGGCTTTGCTGCTGAAAAGCTGTCTGCATTATCAGGAAGAAAGGGGGTGGGAGAGTCAGATCCCGGGAAGGTGGTCTGTGTCGTTTTTTCCTGTAAGAGGTCCATCTTTGCGAGACAGCTCCACCAGTTTGTGGACTACTGAGCTTGGGCTCCTTTCCTTTAAACCCACCCTGTGGCCGCGAAGCATCTAACAATATTCTACCCATTCCCAACATTTTAAAAAAAAATCTGTTATTTGGTGAATCTTTAGCAAAACATTGAGAAGCAAAGCGAACCGTTTGTACAGTGGGATTATTTCCATTCCGTAAATGAAGATGTTTGGATTCCGGGCTGTTGTGCGGTAGGTTGAAATAGACTCAGACCCCCGGAAGAGTCCAGGGGCCTGGCTCAGTTTCACTGCTTTCCCCCACAGGACAGTGGCCCAGTATGCAAAGGCATGAGTGCAAAAGCGCCGGGGAGGCCCTGTGAAGCTTTGCTACCTTCATTTCTGCCTCACCCTAGAGATGTCCAGGCTGCTCCTGCATCCTGGAAAGCCACGGCCTCCCACATTAGCAGGCGTTCATTTTTTTTTTTTTTTTTAATCCAGAGAACTCAGCTGTACAGCAATGCTAAGAGGAAGGGACCCCCACCCCCACCCCAACACACACACACTTTCTACTCAGATCTAATCTAGAATCAAAATTTTTAAAAGTTTCCAAATCTGAGGGTCTACCCACAGGTTCAGTTGAGCTAATGTGAGCTGTAGCAAGAGCGGAAAAAAGTCCGTGATGTGTATCTTTGTCTGTTCTTGCAATACCCTCCACCCCTGGGAGTGCTGCTTTATCTCAAATGTAAAGTCTCACAAGGATGCTAGTTCCTATGATCCACAGCATCTTAAACCGTGGGTTGCAATCCTGTGCTAGGGAAATGAAGGGAGGGCTGCAAAACCCCGGACAACAATGGAAGTTTCTGCTTGTGCAACAGTGGAAAGATACTTCAAAATCAAGTGCCTAAGAAAGCTGAGGTCTCTCTGGTGGCCTTGGCCTCTGGTGTGTGCCACTTCACAGCAGCCTCAGTTCTTTACGTACATGTGCACGCTGCATGGTGCACACCATCACCACATGCAACCCGGACCAGTATTGTCGGAAATGCCTCTGTTCAGAGTCTTCCATTAAGAATTGCAGCGCCAAAGCTACACAGAGAAACCCTGTCTCAAAAAACCAAAAAAAAAAAAAAAAAGAATTGCAGCGCTTTTTGTTTGTTCGTTTGTTTTTTACCGTACACAAGGTTTTCCGATCTTCCCAAACACTGATAGTTCAATTACTGAAAACAAAGACTTTCAGATTTCTCTGCTGTCATTCCTCAGCATGTTAGCGTCAGATTAGCATGTCCGTGGATTGTAGGTGTGTTAGAGGACTTAATTTCAGCAATTGTGCCTTGCGTGGCTGACTTACATTTCACTTAAGGTCTGTTAAATGAACTTTGGTTAAAGGTTAGGACAGAACTTCCAACAATTTCTGAAATGTCCTTAAATATACTTCTACCACTTGGTGTTCTGTGTTCATGGGAAGATGTGTTCCCAGCAAATGATCATAAAATCAACCCGTGGATCAACGCTGAAAAAGACTGAAGATGTTCTACATCTCCGAGTCTCAAATATTCAGCCAGTTTAACTCACTGTATAAAGAGACAAGCGCATCCATCTCATTAGTATGCAAAGTTTCTTTTGTCTTCAATAAATGGTAAAATCATGTGGATACTAAAGAACCGTCTTAAAGTAATGGTCTTCTCATTTTTATTGGAGGCTGTAGGGAGGGGGCCTCCTCCATCTGTAGGAGTGCTCACAGGTTTTTCGGTCATTGCTTGTACCCTGGGGTGGGGGTGGGGTGCTGGTGGCTGAGTATGTGGGCACGTGCCCACTATCTCAAACAGGCACTGGGTAGTTACAATGTGTGACCTTGTTGTTGCTGCTGACGTATCTGGTGTAGTGACTGAAGGGGAGTAGAATGACGTCAAGGTCTGCAACAGGGATGGTGAAGGAAAAGGCCAGCACCAGATGCTTTGCCCAGACATTCTGAAAGAAAGTGGAAAGTCTCTTGCAGCCATCTTGGTCTCAGAACCGGCAGATTACTCGATGACATATTACCATAGGCAATCATTTGCTTTGTTGTAATACTTTATATACCTGCATGCCGGGGGTTGTGAAAACCTTTCTGGGGCAGCCTGGAGTAGAAAAGTTTAAGAAGCCGTATTTTAATTGTTTCTCATGGAAAAATTTCCATTTCTTCCATCCTTTCAACAAAGACAAGTGTGTATGTGTATGTGGAAACACTCAGGCATTGATATGTGGGTGAGAAGCCCTGTTCATCACTGACCTTCCCCGAGCCACTAGATAACTAACAATATTTTTTTCATCATTCATGTCTCTTAAAAACAACTGGTGTCTGTTAGCTATCCCCTCACAGTGTCAAAAGGTGGTGTGCAGGTTTCTAGTGGAGAATAGCGGACAGTCTTACTCAAGTCTGAACCTAATGAGCAACCAAACTAGCCAGCAAGGCAAGACGAGCCCAGTGGAACAACAGTGGGAGCCTGTTGTGTAGGGGTGATCAACCACTCTCTGGTCTTATTGGAACGGCTCTCCACAGGATTCTCATCAGGTCTAATGAAAAGCCTATGGCCAAGCAGGTCATAGGCCCCAGTGGGAAAGCTACCGCCGTTGTTTTGCCAAGTAGACATGGTGTACCCATAGCATTCCCTTCTAAATAACTATGTGTATGCCCATAGACTAGTGTTGGTTGGAGAAGCATCCCCAGCCCCACTCCCCCACCGAAGTGGTCAACAGGGGCCACAGAGACTCATAACTGGCCAAAGTACTGAGTTTATTTTGAGGATCAAACGCTCAGCCACAATGGGACAACAATACCAACCCTATAAAATGCAAGGACTATTGTAGAGGAAGGAGCAGAAAGAATGTAAGAAAAGAGGGTGAGTGATGCAGAACACTGACTTCTTGGCATGACATCGATGTTGCACTCCTGAACTCATAATTGTGGTTTCTGGGACAAGATCTACATAAGATCTCACACTCTAACATTCTGTCATGGAGGAGGCGTGGTTCATGGCAGGTTCATCCTTATAAACTCGTGGGGGTTTATAAGCAGTTAATGGCTGATGAGGAAGGAGTGAGAGACATTTTCTTCAGTGGTATTACCACTGGAAAGGTGCCCATATTCTTGTAAGGAACCCTAAGAAAGCTACTTGATCAACAGAAAACAAAACAAAATGTGAACATAGAGGGGGAGTTATCTGTTAGTTGGTAAGACGACAGGGATCAATCAGAGCAGAAAGGAGACAAGAGAGGGTAAAGAGGGCTAGTGGTGAATATGATCAAAATACATTGCTTACATGTACGAAAATGTACTAATGAAACCCATCTTTATACAGAATTAATACATGCTAATAAAAACATTTTTTAAAAAGTAATACATGGAGGGGCCAGGAAGGGGAGAACAAGGGAATCCGTGGCTGATATGTAAAATTAAATAAATTATAAAATAAAAAAGTAATACATAAAAAGTATTGGGTCTTCAAGAGAGCAAACTCCTATTTTTTACTATGAGGTGATAGACTACTTTAGTTTCAGCAGAAAAATTATTATTTTTTTTTATAACTCTGGGGAAAACAGGCCTACAGTGACTTTTGTATTTTTGCATTGTAACAAAAAAATAAAAGAAAATCATCAGATCCTCTGCTGCAGGGGCATTCAGGGTGCTCTTTGGTATATGGAAAGTCACAGCCCAGCCTGTGTCTCTGCGTTTAACATTTCCACCAGGCAAGAGCATTCTCATTTGAGATTTTTCTAAGATCTGGAAGTGTGCGAGACCTCAACTGGCGGTGTTCAGAAGACCAAACTACTAAACCAGTCTACATTCTATCAGACACCATTTTTCTTTCAGATTGTCCTTAAAAGCCACGGTAGGAGCGACATGACAGAAGAGTCAATGTGCAAGTTTAGGAACTATTTGTCCCCAAAGTCTGACAAAATCATTTGACCTGTAAACAAACCAAACTGGCACTGTTTTCAATAAAACTTCTACTTTGTGCTCCAAGAACATGTGAGGGCATCATATGTCAGCCTTCGTACATTCCCATGAGTTGGGACGATGCGGACCCTATTGTGACACAAGATAAAACACCACCGGCTTGTGGTTCTGGTACGTACACTGGTGTATACTAGT